ATAACATCGAGGGAAGGCGTACAGCAAAACAAATTGCTGTAGTGGAAGTTACAATTTTGTTCCCTGTAGAAAATACATAATTTTTTCGTGATACAAAGCTGAGTAATAACGCGGTTTAAAATCTACCACGTCGGAAAATTTAGAGTGAGTTCATACATAAAAGTAATGCAGTATCAGGATTGTACTATAGATATATGGGAGCTTACTAAAAACCCTAGGTCATATTCGTCTTATCTGAAAAATCTTTCATATGTTGGATACAACGAAAAACGGGTACTGCAGTGTACACGCTTCACGGCCTACGTTCTGTTACGTTCAAAATTCGGAATTTATTGTACATATTGTTTTTGGTCCAAAGCAAATTTTTACAATTTTATAAGATGTAAAGCAAGGTTTATATTCCTTATGAAATATATAGTATATAGATAATAATTAATATATTACTTTTGGAATAACTTTATATTTTTAAAAAATGTTTTCGACGGTACAGAAATACCCTGATTGTGCTCTGAATGTACGGTAAAATCTTCACAATCATGTAGTAAGTTGGCCTACTTTATGTAACGCAAGGATGCTGCAAAGTAAATTTATTATTTTATTCACACTTACATATCATCAGAATATTCCTGGTGAGAAAAGTAAGTTTAAACTGCACAGAAAATTAATGTCCGTTTACAAGGAACCAGATTTCTTGTCAAAGTTAGATTTAAGAAGCACATCATTCCATGGGCCTTGAATTATTTCCTTAAATTAACGAAATTATTACCAGAAGCCACGCTATGCTGAGATTATTGTTTCTTCTCTTTGTGACACGTGCGAAAGTCCAGCCTCAGAAATTCTTTACAGAGACGAAAAACCTGAACATTGAAGATAATTCCATGCAATCAAAGTGAAATATATGTATTAATTGGTCTATAATGAGAGCATATTGGTTGCAAATTGCAATAATTTACGTTCGCTGTATTTTCTACGTCAAGAAATATTGTCACACCTTATATTTAAACATAATTAACATATGTTTAAGTTTCCGTGATGGCTGATACTGAGACTTTATTATGGCCTTTCACCTTGTCACAAAAATTATTGGGCGAGCAAAATAGCTGTGATAATTTGTAGGGTTAAAACCTGTGTACATATATCTAAGAAGCTTAACGGCTAGATCTTAATAACAGAAATACGGGAGATGATTGTATCGGTGAATAAAAATGTCAGATTGAGAGATTAACATTTTATGTACTGTTAATAACGCTTTCTTTCTGAATGTTGTTGAACCAGTAACTAAGCTAAAAACATGAAACACAAATACACTAAGACGAATGGTGTAACATTGATGTGCTTTAAGTAATAAATATTCTTCCACAGAGTAATATATAGAAACATATTGTAAATGATTTCCAAACATGTATAAATTAAAGTTTCATTTTGGAAAGAATAAATCCAAATGGCGTATTATTCCACACCCTCACTTATTACAAACAGTTACGTCAATGCCTTCGTCACGTTTGATAGGCGATTGCGAGATGTTTGATACATGTGTAAGAACACATTACAATTGCATTTATAATCCTAAGGTAACACGGTACTCCTCGGGGTCTCAAAAGCAACGAAAACAATTGCTCAGAACTCATAAACTCACGTAGCCGAACTGAGGAAGTATATCATTCAAAACTCTCATATTCTAGGTTTATGTAAAAGCGGAGTTTTCGGTTAAACAAGAACCTTTAATCTAGAGGTTTTTAAAAATGTCAGCCGTAAAGTCTTAGTAGTAACATTCTTTAAAACCATTGAGTTATTGTTATATTTTTTTGTTCTTGTGATGTAGAGATGACAGTTCCAAAGAAAAAGGAATGATACATAACACAGAGGGGATTATAAGTAACAGAATAAAAGAATATTGACGTCTTTTGTGCAATAGTCCAAGTTAACCTCCTTAAAACTGGTTATTTCAGATGAGTGAGTTTTTCTTCTGTTTTCATGAAGAAAAAGAGTTTTAGTAAGAGGACTTCGGTCGAATCGCTCGCAATGTTCTGTGGGCAGGGGATGCCCAGGTTTGTAATACCACCCGACTTTCAGCCATGTGGTCCAATCCGCCCCATTAGCTGCATCTGTGAGACCCTGCCTCTGCCATACCATTGACAATTTACAGTCATTCAGCCGCCCTATTCCCGTTCGTATCGCACTTGAACCCACTAATTCGTCACGTGTGTAATGAAAATGCTGATTTTGTAACTTGAAAAGAAAAGAGCACAGATGAAACAGTAAAAAAGAAAGGTTCATACTGTTACAATTGGGATTATAAAAAACTTGAATGTAGCGAGAATTCAGAATTCCTTATTGGGAATTTTTGTTCCATAAACGAAAACAATTTTGTATGATTTGAGGTTTTCACAGCGGTGAGTATGAGGATTTCTGTCTTCTGGGTTTTTGCGCTGTGTAGTATGGTAGATATTTACCAACGTTTCAGAGGTCATACTGCCTCCGTTGGTAAACATCTACCAGACTACACAACGCAACAACCCAGAAGACAGAAATCCTCAAAACAATTTTATTTTTAAAAGATAAAATTATATTAATTTCATAATAGTTTAATAAATATCTTTTAATAAGCTCGAGAATCTATGCTCTTCAATAATAACATTGTTCATCTTCACTGTGATCTACAGAGCGTTTAGTCAATATTAATGACCATAAATTTGTATCAAAGCCGTTTATCTTCAAACATTCATTTGTAGGTTATGCTGTAGCAGTTTCAACGGCAGTTAAAAGTATATCCTTCCAACATTATGACGACCGATCCATCAGTAATGTGACATATATATATGCGTATAGATTAATGATTACCGCTCACCATAAATGTCATGACATTTATGACAGTGTTTCGTTGTACATTTCATCAGACGTACTGAATACTCTCGATGAGTTACCCCATGTTAAAAGAGAAATAATAAGCTTACTGTTGTTGGAGGCCTGTAGAATGACCTTCCATATTAACACAATAATGCGCACAGTGAGCAACCACAAAAACTTAAAATCGATCAAGCCTTCAAATTTTATTCCAAACTGGCCATACAATCCGCATGTTATTTAAGTGGTTGATACAGACGAACTGCATGCAGAAGAGTTCTTATTAAGAAACCAGTTTAGTAGTATATCAGCTAGTTCAGAATTTCCGCACCTGAATAAATAAGAGTCTGGCATGACTTACTGCGTAATACTGTGGCAAAAAGCTTACAATACCCATCTTCCACGTCATAATATTATTGCTGTCGTGATGCTTATTGGAAGTTTAGCAACTTTCTCTAGACCGAGCTACGTTTAGACACATACGATCTTATCTTCGCCACTTAATGTAATTTTGCTAATTCTGTGCAAAAGATAATCCACATGTTTTTGAATCTTCCGTAATTAATAACATGAAATATAAAGATTTTGTAAATAAGCGTTTGAAACTTGAAAATCGCTTCTGAAAATCGGTGAAATACGATAATTATCCACAGTAGGGAGACAGGAATTTAAGGTGAAGTTCAACAAACGCTAGAGTGAGGTTTTGTTTCATCTGAAGTACAGGTCGATACAAGTAACTTATAGTTACATATGCGCTGGATTTGATTTTATTTTGACATCAAAACAAATGCCACAGCCTGTTCTTTCCTCCGTTGCCGAGCGACACGGCACAAAACGGACCCTAATTTCAGGCCCCAGTAACATTTTACTTCCTATTTCTTGCTTCACTGAATCTCGGAGGCCACCCTGGGGTCAGGTGGACAGCAATTATTTCAGGAGTGGTTGTGATTAATGTAGGGAGTGATCGCTGAATGAACTTCGCTACGCAGACGCATTAGTCAGAAACCTGAACCTCAGTCCCGGCCTTTGATCCACATCTGCGACCTCATTTGTTGTTCAGAGAGCGTCGGATAATAGGCTCTGACAGACACATGTAAACACATACACTCTTATCCACTCCATAAGCTTATTTTGTGCAATTCGTGATGCTATAAAACGCAAATGCTGTTATATGCGATTATAGACAAACCCAGGTGTCTACTTCCAGAATCCGTGAAAAGCTAATGATTCCCCAGGTGATCAAGAAATTTCCCACGTTTTATGGAACCTACATTTTTATTACCGTATTTATAAGATCCGCCATAAAATCCTTTTCTAAACCTGATGTAGGCTTATATAATCCACAGCATCCCAGTATCTTAAGTCAGGCCACAGCCGATTCTTTCCGTATCCTTCTCAATTCAGCCTATCACGTCAAGCTATTTTCTAATGTGAAATACTGACAGGCGTAAACAAATGAAAATGAAAGAAAAAATAAATAAGAGATGCCAGGACAATGAGTGGAATTACTACACTTGGTTGGTTGATTCGCATCATCAAACAAATTAAATTGAATCTGAGTCGTATTTATTTACAAATACCTAAGCAAGTATCCGACAATCATTTTAAATTAATTGATTCCATTTTGATAACAATGCCGTTCTCTTTGAATTTTTAGTAAAATTATATTGTGTAGGTTAAATACCCTCCTTGCATCACCCTTAAAGGTGGGTTCGTATCTCGTGACCTATTAAAATTCTTTATATAGGAACTTCAATTATTATACTATTACACCAAAGATAATTTATATTGTACCTGGTCCTTAAATGTGATGTCATATGATTAGCTCTGTTATAGAACTATTATTATTTAATGTAATCGAATCTCGTTTTATAACAAATACCGTACTATTATTCAGTGTAATAATACTATTAAGTATTAATTAAAGTTGTGTGGAATGTTAGTACATTATGTTCAGCCTGCATTCCATTATCGTAAATCAACAAAATAATTTAAAATGGACGTGTGGTCTGAGAGTTATTGACTCACCACAATTTCCAATAAAATCTAAAACCACGTAGTGCTTGCACATCAATTTTCTTAATTAATAATTTTAATGCCAATGAAGTCCTCATTCATCAGACTGTGTATCAGAATGGAAACATCAATCATCTATCGAACGTTGACTTTGACTGTCGAGACCATATTTGCAACTGATTTTCAATCATCAAGTATAAAATCCATACCCATCAACAGTGCACGTCTAAATAATACCGCGTGCCCATTTTAATTTCTTAGATAACGTTAGATTATTTTCTGGTGAGTTGTGGCTCCATATTCGTTCGTTTATGGCTTCAAACTCTTTTCATACTTAAACATAGACAAGTGAACGGTGTGGGGAAAAAGCAAGGCATTGCTCAGAATAAATGAGTGCGGGCTTCAGTATGAACAGTGGGGGTTGATGTAGAAGAACCCGTGATATTGTTTCTGTGATGAGTGCGACAGGTCATTCAAGACTTACTTACCGACGGCCGAGACACGACTACCTCAGTACAAGAAACGAACCTAAAGGTATGTCTGTACAATAACATGATGGCGAAAGAGAAGAGAAATTTGTGGGTGTTGTCCGCTCTCGTAATTTTACTTGGCGTCTGTTTTCTATAGACCTAGATCGACCGTCCATTTGATTTTCAATCGTAATAATTTGTTGCTTAGGCAGATGTAGTTGAGAGTTTGGGGACGTTTTTAAATTCAAGGTTGATACGTGCATACGCGTGCACACACGCATACGTACGTGTTACTGATGTCTTCTTCCTGATATGTTTAATATATTTGATGTAATAATATTCATCCGTCTATTCTCGTTAAAAATTAGTTTAAGGTATTTTATTTCTAACTCATGAGTTCAACTGAAGATGAATGCAAATTTGTAAAAGACTTGCGTGTTATTTCTTGGTTTAAACTTCTGAGAAGTCTTCGTCGTGGTAAATTTTATGAGCGTTGCTGGTGTTGTTAAATTGAAAGATTTTCTATCCTGGAAATGAGAAATAAGAAGTAAATAAATTTTTAATGAAGAAATAACAATAATAAATAGTGTTTAAATTGCATGGACAAGTGAATAATATTAAAATAGAATCCACGGAATATTTATTGCTGTAAGATACGAATTATTAGCACTGAGTTCTGCCTCAACATTTCAGCCCACGTTTGGTATTACGAAAGAAATTAAATATTATATATTCTGTTACAAAAAATGAACATAGGCGGTTCACAATAAACACATTTCGAAAATATGTGTATCCGTTGGAGCATACCATTCCATTTGTGTTTATTGAATACTCTTATGTACTGTGGACTTCCGCGTTTTCATAATTGAATCGCGTTGCACAGACGTATAAAGCATTTCATATATTTCTGTTGTGTACATCGACAACAGAGTGATCACATCTATGACGTCAGTGGAACTGCTTGTTTTGTGTGTGCCCTATCAAATACGATCGTACCGCTCTAAATACTACATGTAGCTTGTATACCTGTCCGGTTCAACCAAGCACACAGAACTCGCACAATAACGACAACTAGCGTAGAGAACATACGGCCAGAAAGGGAATCCCAGTCTCTAAATCAAAGCTATTGTGTCCCTGTAGACCATTCCCAAATCTAATGGGCCGATATCAGATTGCAGCACAAGTAATTAAGATATTTTTAAATAATTGCGTGTTGTATATAAGGCTTGCGGTGTCGCTGTTTATTGAAATAACTGCTGTTCTGTTGAACCGGAAATTGCTATATCTGAGCTGTGAGGTTCTTACGGAAATGAATATAACTATTTTGGTCTTCTGTCTTCTGGATTGTGACACCATGTACTCTGACATTTGGTTACCAACGATTTAGTAATACCTATCGACAGTCTTCAGGAACTGGACTTCGATCTGTAGATGCATACTGTAAGTCCCTCCGAAACGTCGGTTTCTACTATCCACTGTCGCAGTCCAGAAGAGCAAAATTTAATTGCGAGTAGCATGAAGATTCTTACAGCATCAATGCTGATATTCAGGTGTCGTGAGGAGCGTCTTTCGAGGTAAATTATTTAATTAGAAGTTTCAAAGTATAATTTATTCCTTTCGAGTGTATCTGACGATCTGGATATCTTGTAAAATGAATAGCTTATATTTAAATATTATTAATGGGAACCTGAAACAATAATTCATAATGAAAAAGTCGTTTAAAAATACATCCGAAGGCGAAGGTCATTGGTTTTAAATGCTGCCCAGTTTAATTTAAGAACAAAGAAAATGTATAAACAGTTGTATTCAACGGGTGAATTGCATATTAAATAAAGATAAGTTCCATATAAACATTGGAAAATCGGAAGTAATGGGTCTTTATGGCAAGATACCCAATACGTTAAAAGAAATTGAGATATAATGCTAACATAGAACAGGTTGTGTTCTAGTCGGGCTACCATGTGTTTTACGAATGCAGGAAAGTTTAGTTAAGAAATTGCATTAATTTCAATAAACAATTGGTGTATTAAAACATGTAATAACTAATAAAAACAGATTTAAAAATGTTGCCAAATATATTAAGTATTCCTGTGTTAAAACAGCCGTATATAGAACTAATAGAAGTATATAAATTACGTTTCAACACGTGTTTCTGGTGAGTTTATATAGACCTTAAAACCGCGTTTGTAACAGCGCAGTACGCAATGAAGCTGTATGAAGTCGTAAAAGAATACGCGTGTATTCCTTGCGAGTTATAACGTGCCACGGGTACAGAATTATGACTTTCCCACAATAGAGTAAATGATATTTTAGCCTTTGTACTATTATTGTAGAGTCTTGAATTCTTTAATATTCTTCCTCCGGCAATGCTTTATATAGTGCATTTTTTCACACCGAATTATTTGTATTAGAATTACATTGCTCTAGTAGGAAGTTATACTTTGAAAACTGTCACGAAATTGCTAGATCATTATATAGTGGAGTAATTTTGAAAGTTTGGACAGTGGAATGATATTGATTGTGCTGGTTTGACTTTACCTCGGTTATGCCTGTAAGTTCGGAACCAGGCGGTCATTGAGCGAGAAACGCTACCGATCGCCAATATCCAAACTGGAGGTCGGTTTCCTGCAGCGGATATCAGCCAACACTTCTCTGGCTTCAACCCACCCTCTTCTTGAGTGCAGACTCAAAGCCCCGGACCTCAGGAAATTGGAACAAGATCTCGAATGAAGATTTTGTGTAGAAACTTCTTTCCGAAGCAAGGATTGCGGTAAACGTAAAGCCAAAAACGAAATGTTAAATCATAAACCTTTAAGCGCATCATATACAAAATACTGGAATTTTAATCCCTAAGCTGTGTGTAACTGGTGTTCCTACATTTTCTATCACACGGGACTTGATATGAAAAATAACAACCCACTTGTTCTTGTTCGTAATAAATCACACGCATCTTATTTCCACGTCACGCTCTTTTGCTATACGTAATGAAATTACGTTTGTTGTAATTCTCTTCTGTGCCGATCAGACTTAGAACGTAGGAGCTTACGTAGAGGAAAATTAAACAGAAAATAAGTAACAAATTTTAATTAAGGGCATCCTGCTGTGTAATATACTGTAATAATATTAATACCACTCTTCTATATACATTTCATTTTAGTGTCTATATTTTCACCACTACATGTTTCGTTAGATATTGACCATCATTAGGTGGTACATAAGACTTTTTATTATTAAAATGTATGTGACTCAACATCTTGCAGGGTGAAAACATATGAAAGCAAATAATTATAAATTTACGCATTATGTATATAGATAAAAGATTAAACTTTAAACCTCGGTGATAATTACCTTTAAGTTTTAGCGTGTAACATGGATTTTGTATTCTGCTCACAACAGACTATTTTCTTCTTCAAGATCATTAACACATCTATTATTTTTAACCGTGTGTGTTCTGAATGAACAGAAACTCAGTTTTATATGTTATATAGGTTTAGCTTTATTTTGTTGTCAAGAGTCATTCCTCCTACTTTGAGTTACGCTCGAAGTTAACGAGGAGAAATTCCGTGGAAACTTCCACTTGGAAGGACCCCCCCCCCCAAAAAAAAAAAAAATGAGAATTTCATATTAAGGTAGATCTTATGGATGTGGCAATGACAGTAGTGTATTTATCCATATTTTGACATATATTCTGTACTACAGGATTTTAAAATGATGAATGTGTACATTCTCATACTTAAGTCCAAATTCAAATATTCAGGCTCAGAAATGCCAATTGACAGCCCTAGAGCACAATAAGACTTTCGTGGGCATTGAGAAATATCTTTTACAGATATTTCGCATTTATCGTTTCACCGTTCCTTCTCTCTTACTGAAACAGACGAACATGACGTCACACGGGCCGCAAGAACTGTTTATATTTTAAAGGCAATGGTGACACGTGTTACGTACTGCTGTATCTCTACAGTTAAGTATAATCGAACACTGTTGACTGAGAATGAATCTAATTTGATTTTCTCGTAAATGCTTTTAATTGGTATAGAGGGGCTAACAGTTTCGAATAGTTTCTAATCAACAGACTACTGACACGTGTATAATACGTAAAATTAGTTTCATTTTAAATTTGACGTCACAGAAATCCAGCACAGTACAAGGAGTTGATCGCATTTCTGTTTGTTCTAATTCACACAGAGCTCTCTCGTAATGTTACTTGCTAGGCTTCTGATAAGGTAGGCGTGGTTCTATACGGTTCTATTGCTAACGCATTCCTTGGTCCTGTGTGTTGTGTCTCGAAAAGCAGTCAATTAGTGTCGTTTCATATTAATAATAAAGGAAATTAAAACAATAAACCAGAAGTGTTTATGTTAACCCTTTTAGCCCGGCTAACACTTTTGAAATAAAAAATTAAATTTCTTCTGTCTTAGTCACGTAGCTCGGTGGTATCCCATACAGTGGATCACTGATCTTGTTATCCAGCTAGTTGAGGCTTGTGCTGGGTGTAGATTCAAGTTTGCCAATGTTCTATTTCTTAATATGATTTCTTGTTTCTAAAAAGCTTATAAATTGCAAGAAAAATCACACGACCATCAAATTTAGATACGGAGGTGTTACTATATAATATTTTCATATGGAAAATGCGTGGAAAGCCCCCTTCACCAAGGTAAATTAATAAGTATTGAATTTATCATTACGAGAGCAGGATTTTGTACATAATTAGACAAAGGCCTAGTTTAATTATTTAAAAACTTTATAATTCCCATAGTCATTTCTGAAACTATTGAATTTATAGTCTACAAGCTTGTAGTCGGAAATGAAAATTTAAAAATATGCCTAATGAAACAGAATAGTATAATCGAATGAAAAATTTATTTTTTGGAGATTACAAGAACGCACAGCAATATGGTTGATGTGAAGATGCAATTAATAAGTCCGTTTGTTATGTGTGAGATGTATTGTGGATCTCATGCGAGAAAATTTTTACAGAACTTCCTAAGTCGTCGTGAACAGTCACTCTTAGCCTTAGCTTGTTCCACAGTGTTCAACTGCGTTCACTTAACCAGATATGCT